AATCCATTAAGTGTTCTGAAAATTCCTCCCAATCATTATCCTTTTCATTTTATCTTACTCTACCTTTGTTATTCTTCCCTTAGTTCAAAGTCTCCCAACACTTTCTCTGCAAAATAACATCAAAGCCTCTGCCTAGTACCTCTTAACAATCTCCCATTTGTCTTTTCCTGACATGTTGAATAAGATGAGAAATCAAAGCTTGTGGTATTCTTACTATAAAGAAGTGTAGTTATTTGGAAGAGCCAGCTCAAGTTTCTTCTCTGTATTCCAAATCTGCCTATACTTGTGTCCTTACTCATCAGTCCTTTCTGCTACACTCCTGCCATTTGCTCTTCTTTGTTCCTTTCAACTGCTCCCCTCTGTGTTGCTCTATTTTGGTTTATCTTACTGGTTTATAATGACCCCTCATTGTTTAAGTGTCCAAACATTTCTCCATCACTGGAACTTACATAGCAATTAGAGTTCTAATAAACTTGCCTTAAATATGATGTAATGGTCATTAGTCGAGTCTAATGTGGTTTTTTTCTTTCTTTTTAAGTGATTTGGGGAAATGATTTGTATTTTTAGAGTGAGAACCTCTCATAACCTTTGACATGTCTCAACTGTATGTTGTCATAGTACAGCTTTGGTCAAGTCTATATCCTGGGGATCTCCCCTGAATGTGCAACAGTTACCTCTGCTCATTGTCTTTCTCTCAAAATCTCTTCCTCATCTCATTTCTATTATTCTCATAAGTGGCATCTCCATACTCAATAAAGCAATTCCAAAAAATCTCAGAATTATTTTCAACCTTGTTTCCCATAGCCTAGTCATTAAATCCTACCTTCACAATTTTCTGAATATTTCTCAAACCTATGTTGGTTTAGACCCTGATCCTATTTCATTTGGACTATAGCAAGAACATTCTCATTTTCTTCTGGCCTTTTGATTTGTCCCTCATCAGTTCCTCTGAAACATTATTCATGGAGCTATTTTCCAAAGAAAATCCACATAGCATCCTCTGCTTAAAAATTCAGCTTAAAGACACTTACCAAAAAAAAAAAAAAAAAAGATTCTGTAGGCTGTCATAAAATCTAAGTAGCATAGTATTCAAGGACCTTCACCCTCTGGCCCCACCCTCACAAGACCTCCTTATGGAAACCATCTCTCTCTAGGAGTGCCATGCTCCTACCCGCCCCTTCTTCCTTGCCCATGCAGTTCTCCTTGCTTGGAACGCCCTACTTGCTTCCCTTGGTTTTTAGGTTTCAAAACCCAGTTCAGAATTCACCTCCTATGCGAAGTCTTCCTCAGCTCTCCCCATACCTCCTTCCTAGGAGAATGAGTGGCAACTACTTCCACATCACCTGTGGTGAAATTATTTTTCGATGGGTCACCCTTTCCTTTCCTACTTAAACTCAGTAACTCATTCATTGTATCGGGCACATAGTATACACTCAAGAAATGGTTCCTATAATTAATAGTGCTGAATAAAATAACTAAAGAAAAATTCCAGAGACCTAGAAGCACATCAGTCCAGTACTGCTTTAAAGGAGCTGGGCTCAGGAATAAAAAGAAAGGACTAATAATCTGGCTATAGCAAACACATGAATGTGCTGTTTATTTTTAAAAGCTAAGTGGTTTAGGAAGGGTAGGGGGAGAATAAAGCACATTTTAAAGTTCTGGCTCCAGGGCAAGTAATAAAAATTGTTGCTTTAATGTTTTTTTTTCCATAATATTGTGAGCAATGAGAGAAGGTCTATTCCATCACACCGGCCTTCAGGGCATAAAATTTCAGCCTCCTGAGCTAAATCAAACTGGCATCAGCTCTCAGTTTTTCAGGTGGCCGCAGTTGGTCTCTGCTTTCCATGAGGCTAAACTCAACTGCCAAAGAAGAAAAAAAAGAAAATAAGTTTCCACTTATTTTATGAGCCCCTCTTTTGCTCTTGTTGATTAATTACAAAGGTCCTGGAAACTCATCTTGCATTCGAGTCTCTGGATTACAGGGATGCAGGCATTGGACCTTGTCTGCATTAGGAGTTGTCATTCTTATAAAGAAAGAGGTTGGTACATGAGTGAACATAAGCGTATGCAGACATAGGGAGATACATTCTTGGCATCATCAGGGAGTACGGCATAGTGTTCACTGTATATTATATAACTTTACTGTATTTAACACCTGATAATTTTACAATAATTTTAGAATAAATTCAAATATTTAACATTAAAAAAAAAGGTTGGAAGGCAGTGCCTTCCCAAGGACACCACACTAGCCCAAGAAATAACATTGCTTGGAACTCACAGTTCAAAGCCCTTAAGTGCCACTCACTAATGAGTAGCACTCAATGTCACCCATTTTATTCAACCTAAATTGGTAAATCTGAACATGTTTAAAATTAGGATGCACCTGCATCTAGGTCAAAGTATGTGAGTGTATCTGAGTCCCAAAGGAATTTAATTATTTTCAAAATGATATAAAGACCTATTCTTTGTAATTCTATCTGAGTCATTCCACCCCTGGGCTCCTATCCTAAATTCACTTGCCCACAATGCCCCAGAATCTATCCTGGGATTGTCTGTCTTTTGGGGAGAGACCCTGCCTCCATATGCCTGTGTTTTGAGTACCTGACTTTCACATTTTCCAAGCACTGTTTCTACTTAGGAGGGTTGAATAGGAATTACAATAGTACTTAGCTCTTAGGTTTATACTAAGGATTAAATGGGGCAATAGAAGTAAAAATAATAAATAAATATAACAATGCTGGGTAGGCAGTCAGTGCCGCATAAATATCAGCTCTGTTACATTCCGTGGATGAACAATGCATGATCCCGTAACAGGCTCTTTGGGAAAAGAGTCTGAGAAAGTTGGGTTTTTTCACCAAACACCATGTTTAGCTCCACATCTCCCGATAGACTTGAAATAACTGAAGTAGGTAACATTATTTTATTTAACTTAACCTGTCTGGGACATTGTTTTTGTTAAATGTAGCATGGAAAATGTATTTTAATAGGTATGTGAAATGACTTAAGTGCTTTAAAAAATTCTCTAAGGTCCTTCCAGGTCCAAAATGTTGTGATCTATGATACTAACCTAAAATGCATGCAAATTAATAGTGTTTCAATTCCCTGGATATAAGGGAAATATATGGCATTGTCAGGCTGGATTGCATGGAAAAGAAGTTAGACCCAGGACTGGGAGCTGGTGGCAATGCAGAATAAAACCTTGCCCTCCTTTCTCCCCACCGCACACAGTCTGTTGACCTCCCAGGTTCTTTTGTAGCAGATGTGGAGAGGAAGAGGAGTGAGCCGCAAGGTGCAGAGAAGAAAGGAGGCCAAGATGGTGCAGAACTCCCAAGCAGAGCAGCTGAAGTAAACAGAACTCCATTAAATCACCTGCAATTTCACCTTTTACCCCTAATAAAAGAGAGAATTGACTTCCGACTCAGGAAGGGGACCCACAACCTCCCTCCTCTTGGAGATTAAGAAACTGAGAACTGAAGAGATTAAGTGACAAGTCCAAAATCTTCCAGCTTTTCCAGATCTGGGTCTGGAAACACCGAACTGACACAGTGACCAGCCATGTTAAACCAGTCTCAGCCTATGTGACCTCCAAAGTGTTCACACACAGATAAATGTCTCTCTTTTCTTCTCTGTATTAGAGTCAGCCTTCTACAGTCACCCACAAAGTAGCCAGTACCTGTCTCAGGAAAACAGGACTCTTCATAATCCTGAATTCAAGAGAAATGTCTCGTCTTACAAACAAGTTACTAAAAGCAGGGTCATGTGGTTCTTCTACCGTTAGATTCACCATTATCTTACATGAAGAATACATTAAATAATAGTATTGTGACAATGATTCTCCAAAAGTCCAAAGTAGAAACAAAACACAAGCAAGAAAAAGGCTAGGCATATATTAAGGAACACATATATAAAAATCTACCTAAATGTAAATGAGGGGGGTGCTTCTGTGATTATCTTTTTTAAAAACAGCATGCACTAGAACTCCTTTTAAGTAGCCACAACAGAATGACTCCATTTACACAAGTACAACATTGACAACTTTTTGGAAAATTATCTACCAGGAGATGAGTTGTAAGCCTGTGTCCACTGCCTCCACTTGATCTGTTGCCTGTATCCGTTCAGGCTTTCCTTCATTCACCTGTGGTTCGCGAGTACTCACTCACTCTCTGACTCACTCAGTTCCCCCGTCTACCCCGCGGTCCTCGCTGGTTCTTCAATTACGCATTGAGTCCAACTAAGGACCTGACAAGTCAGCGAACTAGCAGTGGAGCCTAGATGGCACCAAAAGTGAAAGTGCAAGGGAGAACCTCAAAGGGATCCGGATAAAGCTCCCCGGGGGCTAGGGGGCTAGGAGTTTGTTCCAGACGGGAGAGAGGAAAGCTCCCTGGCTGCGTCGGTCCGGGCCCCGCGAAGAGGGGGCAGGCGCAGCCCCGGGAGGCACCCTCCAGGCCCGCTAGCGGCGGCTCAGCAGACTCCGGCTCCCTCCCGACGCCCCGCGGCTTCCCAGTTCTGGGCCGGGTGCGTCCCTTGTCACGGAAGCCGCAGGCCCCGTCTCCTCCTGGCCTCCCAGCCCGGTCCGTCAGTCCCTCCCCCAAGCAAGCGACTTGGGAAGCCCATCCCCGAGGCCGGCGCCGTCCTCAGCCCGCCCGCCGGGAGGAGCCAGGGCCTCGGCCCAGCCGCCCGCGGGCACGGCCGGGCGGGCGGCGAACGCACCTGGTCCGGCCGCTTGGGCGGCTGCGGAGCGGGCAGCGGCGTTGCCCGGGACCAGACTCACAGGCCAGCGTTCAGGTGGGGGCCCTGCGCGCAGCCTGTGTCCGCGGCCGTGCCCCCAGCGCCGCGGCGGAAAGGCGGGACACGGGTCGCCGGGCGGGGCAGGCCGGGCCCGCAGGGACGGGAGGGGCCGGGGCGCCACTTCCAACAAGGCCGGGGAGGAGGAGGGGGCGGGTACCACTCACTGGGACTCGGGGACCTGAGGGCCACAGAGCCGCCCCACGGCTCCTCACCTTCTGGGTCCTGGCTCCCACTAGACAATTGAGTGTAGCCCTGGGTCCTAAGCCCCGTGGCCTTGCTTCTTTACAAAGGAGGCGAACAGGATTCGCGCGTCGCCCTCGATCCCCGCGGCTCCCCGCCGCTTCTGGGCCGTGGGGTGTTCCAGCAGCTCTAGCCTCAGGCCCAGGCCGGGTCAAGGTCTTGGAGCAGGTGTTTTGAGCTTTAATGAGTGGCAATGCAAGAAAGAAAGCAAGGAGTTGTGAAGCTGAAAGGAAAATGCTAACGGTGTCGGTGGCCCTAAACCTGGCTAACGGTGCCTGGAAACTCCAAGCTTTGTGAGCTGTCAAACGTCGCCGATCCGTGAGCGATTAAACTGTTACCCTCCCAGCCTGCCGGTTCAGGATTGCTCGTGATGAAAGGCGGAGGAGATGAACCGGACAGAGTGCAGGACGAGTCGTTTCTCTTTAGTTTATGCATTAATTACCGGAGGTGCCGAAGAAGAAAGGAGACTCATCTGATTACCACCCCGTGTGGCTTATCTCAACAGGTCACACGCTCTGCTGGTCACAAGGAGTGTGCTTGCATATTTGTAACAGTTTATGTTTTGATAAGTTTGCATTTCTTTGTTTAAGACTCTTATCAAATACAAACGGTTTCTTGGAGAAACACGGAACAATTCAGATCTCTTAACCAGGAAAAAAAAAAAAACCATCTTTTAATTTAAAAAGAAAAACCACATGCTCCCTTGGGAGAAAAACACAAGTCATGCAATGTCCATTTATCTGCATCCACATAACCCTCAGTTAACAATCTCTCTAAACTTTTATTGACTCTGTTGCCCACCAAATAAAGTATGAACTCTGAACCTGGCCCACCTTTCCAGGGTCGTGTCTGTGGTAATAAATCCCATTCCACATAATTACTTTTTTCTCAAACTATCTGAGGTAAAGGACAAGTTTTATTCTTTCCAATTTTTCAGGGACTGTTAGTTTTATAGATACAACTAAAAACTTGCTAGAAAAAAAGTGAAAAGAAAAACCAAAGATCTATAAGGCAAACCCCAGCTTTCATTACAAGCATTCAAGTATACAAGTATAAACTCACTCTGTCGATTTGTTTTTTTCTTTTTCTTTCTCAACTTTTAGCCTCAGTTTCGATATTTATCTCATCTTGGACCTGTAAAAACAGTTCATAGATTGGTACTGATACCCATACTGTGTCTGATGCTTTTTAACTCCTATAGCTTCTCTCATGTTATTCCTTTACTGCCCATCAAAGTTCTTCGCGCTCAAGGCTCATAATGTAATAAAACTCATAATGTAATATAATAGCTTAACAATTATTGCATGCTTTATGTTGAGATTTTACATGCATTAACTGTGAATTCTTATCAACCCTACAAATTAGGTATCATTATTATTAATACCACTTTACAGAAGAGAACATTGCAGGTCAGAGAGGTCAAAGTGCATAGCTAGTGAGGAACCAAGTTAGCGTTCTCAACTGAACTGGCCTGATGCCGGTGCCCATGCAGTCAGCCATGACACTGGGCCGTCCTCCATAAAGCCTCCCCATTTGCTTTCTGGTGGAAATTAATCCCTCCTTACTTGTAACCTCTACCACAAGAGTTTTTTCCCCATTGCTTTGTCTTCATGCCCGTTCCCTACACTGAGCGTTAAGCTTCTGAGCAGTGTCACTGGTATGTCTCCACAACTCTTAGCGCTGCTCTGACTGCCTGGGACATCTTTTATGCCGTCCGCTCTGCTCGTAATAACCACTGGAAACCAAGCTCACCCTCGTCTTTGTGTTACCACTACCTTTTACGCTTACGTCATGCTATGTTATAATTACTTATGTCTGCGTCCCCTATTAGACCTCAGGCCACCCACTACATTCAGCTCTTACCAAAGATGTTTTCATTTATTTCATTGAACAAGCACTACTCTAAGAGACCTCGGGAGTAGGTATTAATTATTTTATCACCACTTTACCCATGAGGGAACTGAGGCACAGAGAAGTTTCTAGTGAGATACTAGTAAGCAGCAGAGTCCGTACTGCAAGCCAGGCAGCCTGGCTCCGGAGCTGATTTCTGAACCACCAGGCCGTGCTGATTCTCTACCACTCCATGTGTTCTTCCTGCTGAAAACAGTTCAGTGATTTTCCACTGCTCTTAGATTAAAGGTGAAACTGTTTAATAAGGCCTACAAAACTCCATGTGGCCTTAACTCTGCGCTGCATCTTCTACCAAGCTTCCTGGCTCCCTCCTGGCCACTCTTGCTTTCTTTCCCTTGCTCGTGAGAGCCGTGCTCCCTCTGAGCATAATATGTGTCCTTCCGCTGGCCTGAAATGCTGTTCCCTCACTTTGTTCCTTCCTCAACCCCAAACTATCCTTCAGTTTTTAGGTAAGGAAAACCTTCCTAGACTAAATCAAATATCCTATTAAATGGATTTTTAGTTCTTAATGTGTCACTTTATATTTTATTTATGTGAATATTTGAATAAGGCCAGGCTCCCCCTTCAACACCATAAACTCCATGATACCAGGAACTATATTTGCCCACCTCTATGTCCTCAGCAACCAGGATGGTATCTGACATGTAGTGGGCAGTGAGCGAGTAAACATTCATTGAATGAATAAAGAAATAAATAGCATTCAACATGTTATGAAAATATAGGAGGGACACAGTGTTGTGCTGGTAAATATTTACCAACCAGTTCCTTTTGAAAAGCCCTGATTGGTACCATTTGCCAATTTCTGCAATGTAAATATACTCACACGTGGCCAGTTTTGGGAGGCCACACAAAGGCACGCAGTGCTGGAGCTGGGAAGAACTGTGAGCAATCGCCTTGGAGAGCTTACACCAGCTGGCTCCAGCACACCACTGGAAGGGCGGAAAGTGGCACACAGAGCCCAGGCAAGCAGCCCAGAGATCTAAGCTGAGATATAACATATGAATAGAAGACATATTTGGGAGGCGGAGACCTATGTGGGACAAATAATTGGCAAGGCAGGTGGGGTTGGGGAAGGGAAAGGAGAAAGTTCAAAAGGACTGACGTGCACATTTGAACAGAAGAGCCTTGTAAATCTTGATAAGAGGTCCAGGCTTTATCCTGTGGGTAGCGCTGGGCTGGCTTCAGCAGGCGAGGGGCATGTGAAGCTAGCATTTTGGAGAGATTGCTAGGGGGCTGCCTTTGTGGAATGGATGGGGCACCGGGCAGCCACCCAGGGAGGAGATGCTGGTGAACAGAACCAGGATAGAGATGTAGAGGAAGTGAGGACAACTGTGAAAGGGAGCCTGGTAGGAGGTCTTTCACATGGAGATTTGGGCAAAAGAGCAGTCTGACAATGAGCAGGCCTAAATTATAACACCAGCTTCAGGGAGGTGGGACCTCCTGCCTCAGGGAAGGAAACCAACACCAGGCAGTGCGTCACCCTCCACCCCTGAGACCCAGGGGCCAGCCTTGATTGCAAGCACAGGGTTTGGAAACAGGGAGGGCGGGGTGTGGGTTCTGGCATCGCCACTGTCTAGCTGTGACTGGCCAGTTAAACTCTCTGGGCTTTCAGTTTCTCATCTGTTAAAAATATGTAGTACAATAAAAACACCTCACATGATAATTCTGATGACAAAATGAGATGAGATACCTCAAAGTAACTTACAGCAGGTGGCACAGAATAGGTATACAATAAATATTTTAAAAATTTAACAGGAAAAAAAGAAATAGGAAATAAATCAGGTATTTCTTGGTTTACATGAGTAGTCTTCCAATCTGAATATGTATTCTCTTGGGGGAAATGGAAGGGGTCCTTGATGCGGTGACCAATAATCAATACCATCCAAACTGAGATTCTTAGAGAGTGAGAGGGTACAGTTAATAATTTCACCAGGACAACAGGTATAAACTGCAGCATGTGGTCATTTTAGTGCTCAAAGACTTTCCAAGAGACAGAGGTAGGAATGGAGAATTTTAAAGCACCAGTTTCTTGATTCAGAACCTCAAAAGTCACATTGCCTCCTTCCAAAGATTGATTTTCTTGAAAGGTGCCTTTTATAATTGCCTCTCTTCCACTTTCCAAAAGAAAGAGTTCCTTAAAAAATTGGGGTCAACAATTCAATCTACCATAGAGGCCATTTTTACTCAGTACAGTTGATCCTTGAACAATACAGGTTTGAACTTCATCCGTCCACTTACATGTGGATTTTTTTTTTCAGTTGATCAAAGTTCAGTAGACCCACATCGTTCAAATCCACACTGTTAGAGAGTCAGCTCTGTAGTTAGGAATTTGTGTATATGGAGGGCCAACTGCAGTTGTACCCAGATTTATTACTGTATGGGGGTTCTAAGGTATTTAGAGACTGCATGATATAATAGAATATCAGTAGTGGAACCAGTCACTTAATAGCTCTGTGGCCTTCCACAAGTTATGTATAAATTCTCCGGATGAGATAAATTTTCTCATCTGTAAAATCTGTGTTGATACCTCCCCCACATTACTTACAAGTGATTACAGAAATTGCATGTGATACTATCCATGGGCTTTGGTGTACTTTGGGCGCCGATATTACTTAGGACCACTCTGACTGCTAGTTATAGAGAGCGTGCCATGACTCTATTAATAAGAACTATGCGGAGGGTGATCCGTGGTTGGACTGTGGTAATGCAAAGCCACCATATTGGAGAGATACAAAAATCCGGTAGAACCCCAAATACAGCATTTCTCAATCAATCATGCCTGTTAACACCCCTTCTGCTGGCGACTCCAACAATTTGTCTTTGGGAAAAGATGTTCTCCCAGAAGAAAGACCAGCCATTTGCTATTGTGTGTTTGGTTTGACAGTTCTTTATACATCCACTTCATTCCTTGGCAGCTTTAATTTTTGGTTCATGAACAAGATGGGTGTTCACCATGGAGGGTTCTAGGACAATGCTGGGCAAGAGGCAAATGGAACAAAGTCCCTCCCGGCATTACTTTGGAGTTGTTTTCCCTGTGTCTTCCGTTGCTGCTCTGTTCACATGGCCTCCTGTGGCTGAAGGATTGTGCCAAATACCAAAAGCGTTCTTATTTATCATCTCTGATTGAGATCAACTGGCTCAACATCAGACAGCTCTTTGAACCCAAGCCTTTTTGAGTCCTACAGCAATGTTCTTTCCCCTACTGGTATAAATTAAATAAGCAAAAGGATAAGCGACTGTATACAAGACACCACAAAATGTAATTGCTCCAGTTAACATTGAC